CTCTCGTCTCCGGGTTTTTGGGTGTCTCTGTTTTGTCCTTCTTCCTAGGTCTGAGCGTACCAAGTTAACTTCGAAAACTGCTCGTTGTGTCTTCCTCGGTTATAGTGATGTTCACAAAGGGTACATTTGTTATGATCCCTCTCTTCGACGACATAGGATTGCTTGTAATGTTGTTTTCTTTGAAAATTTGATGTTTTATCCTACCTCGTCTGAGTCCACCCCTTTGTTTGCTACGTCCTTAAACCTTCCTTCGTTTCCTGATGATGATGTTGAGTTTGATGATAATGCTACACCACCATCACCGCTGCCCCCGACCCCTCTGCATTCTCCTGCCCCCTCCTCACCTGGTAATTCCTCCTCGGACGACGACGATGGATCTCCGTCCCCGCCACCTGCTCCCGTTCTGCCTCGACGGTCTGCTCGCTCCAACCTCGGCCAGCCTCCTCTCTCTCACCGGGACTACGTATCCTTCCAGGTCGATCCCATTTTGATACCCACTAGATATTCCCAGGCAAAAGGGAACCCGCATTGGGACCAGGCGATGGATGATGAATTTTCGGCTCTTCATGCACAGAATACATGGGTTCTTGTTCCTCGCCCTCCTCCTGAGATATCAGTGGTTGGCAGTCGATGGGTGTACAATATCAAGGTCCACCCCGATGGTTCTATTGAGCGGTATCGGGCACGAGTTGTTGCACAGGGTTATACACAGGAGTTTGGTGTTGACTTCGATGAAACCTTTGCTCCTGTTGCCAAAATGGTCACTGTCCGAGCTCTTCTTTCTGTTGCTGCTATGCGTAATTGGCCTCTCTACCAGCTTGATGTGAAGAACGCCTTCTTGCATGGCGATCTTAAGGAAACAGTTTACATGGAGCGTCCGCCTGGCTATCCTCTCGGTACTCCGGATCAGGTCTGTCTCTTGCAGCAGTCTCTATACGGTCTCAAGCAGGCACCTCGTGCCTGGTTCGATAAATTTCAGACCACCATTTTGGGTATGGGTTTTCGACAAAGCAGCAACGATCACTCTTTGTTCACACAACGCACATCTCGAGGCCTGGTGGTTCTTCTTTTGTATGTTGACGACATGATTATTTCCGGTGATGATGAGGAGGGAATTGCAGCTCTCACCAAAGGTCTACACGAGTCCTTTCACCTGAAGGAGCTCGGCTCCCTCTCATATTACTTGGGTCTCGAGGTTACTAGGTCATCTGCAGGTATTCTTCTCAGTCAAACTAAATATATTGATGACCTCCTTGATTCGGCTCGTTATAGTGATTGTGTCCCTGTCTCTACGCCCATGGAACTTAATCTGAAGTTGAGCAAAGAGACTGGAGATTTGTTACCAGATGGAGGGAAGCAGTATCGCCATTTGGTTGGCAGTCTGATATATTTAGCTTCTACGCGTCCTGACATTGCCTATGCGGTTCAAATCGTCAGTCAATTCATGTGTACACCGAGGACAGCTCACATGGATGCAGTTCATAGAATCCTTCGTTATCTTAAGGGTACTCGTGAGGTTGGTCTATTTCTGCCGTCTACTGGGTCGACAGTTCTTCAGGCATTCTCTGATTTTGACTATGCTGGGTGTATTGACACTCGTCGCTCCACTACTGGGTGGTGCATTCGTCTTGGTAACTCGGTTATTTCATGGCGGTGTAAGAAACAAGATCGGGTTTCTAAATCTTCCACGGAGGCGGAATATCGAGCGATGTCGGATGTTACTTCTGAGCTGGAATGGTTGCAGCGTCTCTTGGCAGATCTTGATGTTCAATGCTCGTCACCAATGGAACTGTATGTTGATAATACGAGTGCAATTCGTATTGCCACGAATCCCGTTCTTCATGATCGCACTAAACATATCGATGTTCACGTTCACTATATTCGGGATCTGGTCAAGGATGGTACAATTCGCATCTACTACATTGCTTCTGAGGATCAGCTAGCCGATCTATTCACAAAGACCTTTACTGTCAGTCGTCATTCATTTCTCTCTCGCAAATTGATGATGAGGTCTCCCCATCAATTTGGGGGAGGATGTTGAGATAGCTCGACCTTGTAAAGAGGGCCAAAGGCCCACGTAGTTGCATGGCCAGGTTTAATGTTGATTGGGCCATGTTGTTAGGGTAGTTCGGCTAGGGTTAATAAGGGAGTTGTCCCTGGTGATGTATATATATATGTACTAGAGAAGTCTTGGCCGACTAAGATAATAAGAAGAAGCTCCGATCTTGCCCGTGGACTAGTCTTGATCACACCGATCAAGGAAACCACGTAAATCCGTCTCTGTTTCGTATTTCCGTTACTGTTTAATCCGTTCTAGTCACTGGTGACCGGTCCCAAACTCTGCAGCCATGGGATCTCTAGGATGATATCAAACCCTCCCAGAGGCAGTACGTATAGATCCACCAAGGTCTGAACACCTTGAATCTCCAGGTTCAGGTCCCAATACACCCTTTGGCACCACCGCGGTGCGCCATAGGTCACTGTAACCACAATCGGAGTTGTGGGACTTGCTTCCTTCTGCAACGTCCTCGTAAACTCCTCATCTATGAAGTTCAGTGATGCCCCACTGTCGATCAAGGAGAAGTCTTGCTGCCCTGTTACCTTAACGCAGAGCCGCAAGGTTCCCAACGATGAGCGCCTGGTCACCGAGTGCAGGGACACCATCGGCGCCCTTGTCTCCTCCGTCGTTGCTCCCTCCTGTCCGCACCGCACTACCGTAGGTGGAGGCCTGTCGGCCTCCTCCGCTGCTCCTCCTGCCCACGCCGCGCTGCCCTCCTGTCGCAGTAGGCGACGATTTGCCGCAACTGCTCTCTTCGTTGAGCCCATGTCAACTCCGAGGTATTCGTCGAATCCATGGGGTTTGTGTCCGGCCGATGCAGTCCCTGGCTGAGTTATGACAAACTCGGCTCCCGAAACTGGCGCTCTGATACCAGATGTAAGAAACAAGAGATTCTGCAAGGGAATTAGGGATTGAGAAGAGAAGAAATTAGGGATTGGGAAGATGAATTGGGGAAGAACAAGGGAGAAGAATTTCGGGATTTGGATAGTTTAATTGATTATTGCCTAATCTGAAAAGTAATATTCCCCTCTCTTAAATACTAAACTGAAATAACATAAAATAACCAAACCCGGCCGAACTAGACCTATCCCACCCGCACCCCTTGGTTGTTGTTTCTAACACTCGATACGAGATGTAAGTCTGAACGCCATTGCCTAACTTAACGGGGTCGGTGACGGAAAGTCGGAAACTAATAAGCAATGCAGTCAAAAGCGCGATTCTACCTAGAAGCGGAAAAGGGGTAAAATCATAAAGCGTAGAATCAAAGCGTAAAAACGTAAGTTTTTGAAGCATACTGAAAAATAACTAAAAAGCTAGGACATATACTATGTAAATTATGAATGCACGGAATTTAGATAAGTTAATAAATACATGCAATTCATGCCTCAAGTAGAGCAACTTGTAGCATCTTAATAATAAGTTTGTAAATATAAATTTTAACAATAAGCCACTTCTTCCTCTATGCTAATGCATTCGGGAAGAGCCTAGTTGGTGAATTAGATTACTCTATTAAAGTTGAGAATGCATCCAAGTACATGATATGTATCTATTAATCTCAAATGTATCATATTGTTGGTGATTTACTTTTAAAATATACTTTTTATAATTAATTTCATAAAAAGAATACTCATTTAGCGAACTAAAAGCGTAAAAACGTAAAGCGTTTTGGTAAACTAGAAGCATAAAAGCGTAAGCTTTTAAGCTTTAAAGCGCAATTTAGTCCGATTTTATACACTTAAGTTTTTATATGGAAACGAAAGCGTTTTGGTGACCTAAAAGCGTAAAATCGTAAGTTTTTAAGTTTTAAAACGCGATTTTGACTGCATTGCTAATAAGTAAGGTTGCGATGAGGGAGATCGAGGGATGTGGGAGTAGCCAGACAAGCTCCTCTGCTGCGGGTCCATCTCCCATCAACGAAGAGAAAAGCAGTATCAAACGAACGACTCACCTAATCAACAAAAGAGATCCATGAGGAAGAGAAGTTATATTCTAGATCCTGATCTAATTCTCTCCCCAACCAACAATAGCCATGGGGAAGAAAGGAGAGAAGCTCGATTCCAGATCATCCCAAACCCTCTTGTCTTCGTCGGACGAGAAGAAAGGGTGAAGAGGGGTGAGGGTTTTTCTCGACAGGTGAAGGAGGGTTGGAACGGATGAAATTAAATAAGGAAGGATAATTTGTTATGTTGTGATATTAAAAGGATACGTTTGTGAAAAACATAGTATATATATTAACCCTAAAATTAACTTTGGCATCCACGGTCTAACAAGTACATCCAGGTTCGTTATAAAACGAAAAGTACATAGTACATACAGGTTCAAACTCTTTGAATGGAACCTATGAGGCCCAACAATACAAACATCCAAAACAGGAGTACAAGCTCAATTTTATAACAATGTATATCTCAACCTTAGCTGCTGCTAGAAGCCAGCTGCGGATCAGATTACCAATTTCATAACATATCACCTGAAATTGTTGCTCGTTTCCTTCAAAGACTCTAGCATTCATTTTTTTCCATATCGTCCAACATAATGCGTGTAAGAAAACATTCGAACAGCGCTCCGTCGGGTTGATAGGTTGATGTTGTGGGCTTGTGGCCACTCCATCATCACTGTTGATATGTCTGTTGACGCGAGCTGTCCGATTCTGGCAAAACTTCTCAGAGTTCTCAATAGTTTCTGAACACATCCGCAGCTTAGGAACAAATGGTTCACATCCTCTTCTCTGTTCCTACACACCATACACATACTGGGAAGCACCAGTCCCTCATTTTCAGGACATCAAGAGTTTGAAGCCTTTTATGAACACGAAAAACACAGATTTTTAGTGGCATGAGCTGCTGCCAAACAAATCTGAAGGGCAATCTGGTGATCCAGGGAACTCCTCCTCCACCGGGTGATTGTGTAGCGAGCTGACAGTGAAAGCCTTTGCAAGTTGATGGTTCAACAGTTAACTAAAGTTACTGGACTGAAGTATTGAACAGTAGGAATTACCCGACTCTTCTCCATGAGTGGAAGACGAGAAAAATTGCTCAATCGAACGAGTCAATGACTATCGACAGTCAGTAACTATTAGGCCACAGAATTAGGCGGAAATGACCTGACCACCTAACAACGATTGGACGCATTGAAAATGACATTACTAGTTTTCACTACCTTCTCTGCTGAGATGGTCTCAGGAGAAAGAAGAAGAAAAAAACATCAATGGTGTCTTTTCACTTGATCTATCAACCTCATCATCCAAAACCAGATCTCGACCACCATCGACGATTTTGGACAGAACGATAGCCTCATCAAACATCATTGGATTGTCCTTTCATGCGATTTCCGAATTAAATCAGACTCCATCCACCAATGCAAAGGAACAACGCTGGCATGCTGAAAGATTATGGTGCAGCTGCACAGGCAAACATCGGTGATGACGTCTCCCTACCATTTCAGCTGTTCCACACAAGCAACAATAGGAGATTGCGAGATGTTCTATACCCAAGGCTGTGTCCGCCAGATATATAATGAGGCGAGGTTCGTTCATACCAAATCCCACCTCAAAGTTTATGCCACTAATTGTACGTCCTACAAATACATAAAGTACAGGACGATAATTGGTTAATCAAACCTCGTTCAATTGCCAAGTGACTAAGACATCAGTTGTATCTGATATGACAAGTAAAATTGTCTTATAGTAATTCCCCCCAATCTCTCATAACTTTTACCCCCTGCTGCATCTATATCTCTACATACTCTGGCATATACAGGATGCTACTTACTCGCTGTGGTGTTGAATCTACCCAACTCTAGCCTCGTAAAATGTGGAATTCCAAACCCAAAGTAAAGATTTTCTTCTGCAGAGTCTAACTACACCCTCTGTCTGCTGAAGCTCGAGAAGCCAGGGCGGGGCGCCCCGTTGTTTGGAGGAGACTGTGGCGGAAGGCCCTGTTGCTGCTGCTCGGTTTGGTTCCTGCTATTGAATCCACTGGGAAATGGTGGCTGCTGCTGTGGTGGAAATAAGGGTGCGAGACCCCGGTGGTAAGGGTTTCCATTCATAGCTGTCATTTGACTTGCTGTTATCTTCAGGCGCTGCACTTCCTCCCTCAGTGCTTCATTCAGAGCTGCCATTTTGGGGAAACAAGTGTTATACGATACAAGAATTCCACTCAAGACAAGGCAAATAATAATAATAAAAAGGATGCTCTGTAGAATTAGTAGCATAGAGTTAGTTCCCTGCCCGCTCAGATGCTTACCATCTCTAAGGTGTGCTTGTTGTTCCATAGCTTGCAGCCGCAGTTTCAATTCTTTGTTCTCAGTAGTCAATCCAGAAGTATCCCTCTGCAAATGGACAAACAGCTATTCATGCTTTCTATAACTCGCCATCAATAAATTTGTCCATGCATTGGGATATAAAGCTAGTTAAATGCGACACTGAAAAATAAGTAAAAAACAAAGTTGGGAAAGCCTCCAACACTTGGGAGCTCAAGCGAAGCACATACTTGGGAGTTTTTGTCAATTAATGTCAAGCGTCGGTGTGCAAAAAAGGTGGGTAAACAATTGAACTATTTGAAAGAAAAGAACACAGAAAAAACCATGCAACAGTTCAGTGCCCATGAGGCCATTATCATGTGAATTTTGCAACCTATAGTTAAGCAAAACAGTGACAGACTCTCAGTTTCAGATGACAATTCAATCTGATACAAAATCTAGAACAGCATTCAGGTGAAAACAATAGTATTTCCGCTGCTGGGACCAGAAAACCTCAAGAAACATAATAGCTACTGGGTGGTCATCTAAAACTGCAATAGTTAGAATTAACCTGTGTCATTTTCTGATATACTAAAAGTCACACTATGACCATACTTTAGCTGAAGAGTATCCTTAAAGTACTCTGAGCAGTGAGCACCAAACAGCATGTAATAACAACCACGAAAAACTCCAATTCTATGTGAGATGCAGGTGATGACAGACATAGTCACAAAGGATTTCACCAATAAATATGAAGCAAACCAGAAGATGAAATACAAATTATTCACCCAGGACATCTATAAAGGCTTGCAACAGACCCTAAGTCCCAAATCAACTTAATAAAAAACAAAATGCATCACAGAAAGATACAAGTCTAGAGAACAAGATACTGAAATAGAGATGTCCAAGCAGCATCAGCTCGTGATGATTGATACATCACGGGTTCCTCTAACAGAGACGAAGTCCAGGACCTTTGGAATAAAAGAGAGAACGTGAATCACATAAATTCAATTGGAAGCAAATGGTGCCTAATCTTTAACGATGTCCTCAAAGACATTCCAAGATAAGAACAGCAGCAGCATATTGCCTGGTTATGAAAACCTAACAGCACAAAGCGAACAAACAAGATGCAGGACTCAACCTACTTCCAGGAGATAGAATTTATTTTTTTAACTTATTCTCAAAATCGCTGGCTGAAAAGCATCTTAAGAGAAAGCACCGAATTACACAAACTGACAACAGTAACCAGGCAGTAAGCTGCACAGGAAAAAAGCACAGGCAATGCCCTTTCTCTCCACATTCCCAGGACCTCAAAGCACCTAGTGCAACAACTATCCTTAATGTATGACATCCGATTCATCCACGTTAACCTATCCTATGACCATGGTAGCAACATGCTTCAACTTAAAGTGTCAAGAACAGAAAAAGGAAAATCGGTCACCAGAAAGGACCAAACTAGATCATCATATACAGATACAGCAACCAAAGCTAATACCTAGAGTTCCACCTTAAAACTAATCGGATAGCCAAGAACAGGCCGATTTTGACTAGAAACTCACAAATAACTTAAGAGCTCAACACATATAGTTCAAAACACTACTGTTACAGACACAAAAAAAAACCAAGCACCACTGAAGCACACAACTTTGTCCAACGTACCTGTAGCAGTGTGACCTGCGCAGAGAGGGTGGTAGCTTCTGTTTGCAGAGTATGAACCTTCCTCTCCAGCTCACTGGTGTACCGGATTTTCCTCTCCTTCGACCTTGCAGCAGATTGCCTATTCGCAAGAATCCTACCCAAACCCAACACTCGTCAGATTGAAAACAGGAAAATGAAACCTACATAGAACACAGGCAAAAAATTGGAACTGAACCAGGAGAAGAAAAGAAAAAAATAGCATAAACCTTTTAGCTCTCTTGGGATCAATCAGAGCAAGCTCGGCGAGTCTATCAGGCGCCATGGACTTATTAATACCATCAGCCATAAAAGAAGAATCCCCTTCAAACGACGCCGAACAGCTCGAACCGTCCATGGAGTTGCTATGCCTGTGGTGAACTCTCCTCTCTCCACCTCCTCCGCCTCCAATCCCCATCCCTTTCCCGCCAAGCTTATCGTCTCCATAGCCGGAACCCAGTCCGAAACCATCGAAGAAGTCAGAGTCCACGGACAGGCTGCGGAGGTGGTTGATCGGCTTGGCCCTCGAATTGGGCGGCGGTGCGGGGCCGGTGGACGTGGAGTCGTCGGAGAGCGGCGGGGAATCGAGCGCCATGGGAACGCCGGTGCGCGGCGGAGTTGGAGCCGGTAGGTCGAGGGAAGAGAGGTCGAGGTCGGAAGGGTCGAATAGGAGCAGGTCCTCGAAGCGGAAGGCGGTGTCGGAGTGCGCCCGGCGGTGGTGGTAGCCCCGCTGTGGGGTTTCCGGCATCTGCTCTATGTCCAACGGCCGCTTCCCGCCGTACTTGGCGGGATCCATTGCGGACGGCGGATGTTCACGGCGGCGGGCGGGCGGGCGGTGGTTTGTAGTAGTTGGGGGGATTTTCCTGAGCTTCTGGAAGCTCAGCAAGTAAAAGACTAATTTTTGGTTTGTGAGTGTTCCTTGTTTTGGGGCTAGTGGAAGGGCTAAAGCGGCTTATTAATATTATATCTCGAAGACTGTGATTGCGTTGGTAAAAGTATCCAAAATCATCATATAATTTTGATATTTACACAAAATGATGACGTAGCTCTTGTTCATTTCAAAATGGTAGTTTAGTAACCAAATGAGTAAATGACCACCTTATTGCCATCTCCTCCAATATGGCTATGGTGGTAACATCTATACATGGGCATTGGGCTATGCTTGGGCCGGTACGACACGGCACGTTTCGGGCCCATTTATTTCGTGTCGTGCTTGGCACGACACAATAGTTTTCGTGTCGTGTCATGCAAGTTCATTTGTTAACTTTGTTAAGTCCGGCCGAGGTTCGGTCATGGTTCGAATCGTGTCGTGTCTATTCGTGCTCGTGTCATGCTCGTATTCGTGTTTAATGAAAATGACGAAAACAAAAGAGAGAATGAAAAAGAAGGTGAAAATTGAACGGGGGAAATAGTATTAACCGATAATGTTTGAGAAATTAACACATAAGGGGGAAAAGAAAATTGGAAGTATAGCGAGTGTGATTTAGCTTTGTTTAATTCTTTGTCCATTTTAACTTATGTTAGTAATTACGTATATATCTTTATGACACTTCTAACAACAACAAATAATTATTTTTCTACTTGTGTTTTGTAATATTTGAACCTATGATTCTTTTTATACTTATTTTCTATCAAATAAATATTATTTTCGTGCTATGTCCGTTCTTATACTCAATAAAGTCTCAAAAATATTAGGCCCGACACGACCCACTTATATACCGTGTCGTGCCCGTGCCCATGAAGTTTAGACTGGGCACGACCCATAAATTATTCGTGCCCATACCGGACTGGCCCGTTTATTTCGTGCCCGTGCTCGTACGGTGCTCTAACCGTGCCGTGTCGTGCTAGCCCGTGGACGGCACAACCTGGTGCCCACGTACAGTAACGTCACATTTTATTTTAGCACATGCTATAAGGGTCGGGATATAAACACAGTTGTTCAAGTTGATATGGAGGGCTAGGATTCGTTGGTTTTGGGAAGGGTTTGGGTAAAGGAAAGGGGAGCTCAGCTCAATCACCGGACAAACCAAACCAAGCTTGTCAAACCAATTTATAACGTCATGCCGGTTTGACAAGTGATATGGTCGATTGATGGTATAATTGGTTTTACCGGTTCATGCCGATTTTAAGAAAACGTGTAGGGGAATGAGAAATCATTAACACTTAATGACTTTAAGCATATTTTAACATATATTTAAAGACAATTACTATAATATATACATCCATATTTAAATAAAATACAACATTGCAAACAAAATAAAAAATCCTCACATTTAAATGCAATATTTTTTCCTTAAAATCTAAAAGTTTATACTCTAATCCAACAAATAACATAAACATCTGGATATTCATACTTGAATTCAACCAATAACATAAATATTTAACTTTCGAATTGAATAAGCAAATCTTTTTATTTTTGTAATTATAACCAGTCCACCAAAAGAGCGTCACTTTGTTTGATGGTATGAAATATGCCACAAGGGAGTTGTTCTAATCGATTTTGTAACCAATAACGGTTGAATCAGGTTGTATAGACAGACATGACAATCATGAATCAAACTCTTATTGTGGGTCCCTCTCCTAAACTTTTCAAACTCTTCTCTTCATAGATCCAATCCCCCTCTCTCTCCTTCCTCTTTTCCTCCTCACCATGGTGAAAGATATGAAACATTATTTCGAAATTGGAAAGAAGATAGAAGGTATTTGTTTCTCTCCCTCTCTAATTTTCTTCTCCTTCTGCCAAGAATCCAAGTTGAAAATCTCAACCGTCGGCTCCTAGACATCGTCGTCTGATGTAATGTATTCAAATGCGCGTTTTTACGCAAAAGCGAAAATATGAGTAAAAACGTAAAACGTAAAAGCATAGCGTAGAATGTAGGTTTTTGTGTATAATCTTATTAATCTTTCAAGAAACTACCTGTCTCCTAGAAAAAGGAAACTACTCATGCAGATAACCAACAATGCAATAAGGAAATAATAAGACTTCCTCATTAATAAAAAATATAATTAACTAACAACTACACATCATTATCTATCGTTTTGTTTCAATATGGAAGTCAAATTAAATAAGATTACTGAGACTTATTGTATTATGAGGTTCTTCATCCATTCAACGTGAGAAATAAGATTATTAGTAAATACTAATCTCTTAAGTCACACATCAAACAACAAAGTAATCACTTGATGAAGTTATGGTGTAACATACTCGTCCCTCTTGAACATGTCATGTGTCATGCTCGCATCAAGGTGACGTAATCCCCATAGTTGGACGAGTTTTAAATTATGAACCAATAGCAAATCATGAAGGAACCATAAAAGTTTAGGGGGAATTAGAGCGAGGGAAATGAGAAGGAAAGAATGAGAGGAATAGAGGAGCTGCAAAATTTTCGTTTTGCAGTAAGGCCGTTAGTTCAAGAAAAGATTCCTAAAATACCAGTCGTTGGATCGTCCTCAAATCTGAAGGACACTTTTCATACTTGATGGGATCCGATCGGACCGTTGGGATCGTTGTTATGATCTCTGGTTTGTCTAGAAATGTTGCTAGTCATAAAGGGTGTGACATTGTTTCCTATAGCTGGGCAGTTCGTTCCGGGGAGGATATTGGAGAAACTAACAGTTGGATCGTCCTCAAACTTTATAGAAAATTTTAAGAATTGTTGTAGGTCGATTTGACCGTAGGGATCGATGTTTTGATTGCAAGTTTGTTGGGAAACAATACTAGACAGAGAAGGTAAAATTGGTGAAATTCCTTCAACTAGAAACATACATAAACGTATCATAAAAGCGTTTTGACCATTTTGACCGTTTTAATGTCTTTTTTTCATACAAAACGGTTTTATATAGAAAGGGAAGCGTTTTGCCTAGATAAAAATGTAAAAACGTGCATTTTTACGTTTTAAAACGTGTATTTTTACTACATTAGTCTGATAGAATCATAAGTGAGGTAGATACCGGCTCGGCCAGGTCCAAAGGAGGAGGAGATAAGAAGGTTAACACGATGGTCAATAGAAGCAAGAGGGTTTGGGAGTTGCTAAAAGCGCCCTAAAAAATATGAAAGTTACACTTTTAACCTCTTAGCTTCTTTACCTTCCCTTTAGCAAACAAACACCACTTAGTCTAAAAAAACACTATCCAAGTAGAGAAAAAATCATCGTCGTCATTCTGGAGCCGATATCATTGGTAGGACGTCTGAATCATGAGTAGCGACTCCGACGAGGTAAAAACGTTCAATGGAAAAAGAAAAAATGGGAATCGCGGCTCAGATGTGGTTCGACCATGGTTCAACCGCAATTGAGCTGCGGTTGGACCATGATGGAACCGCAAGTGACCTGCGGTTGCACCATGGACCAACCGCAACTGAGCTACGGTTGAGCATTTTATGGGTTTTTTTGTTCAAATCAGTATTTTTCTATTTTTTATATGATTTATGGTTTGTTCCACGAGATAATTTGTTGGATTTTGATTTATATAATTTTCTAGATTTATTTGCATAATTATTTTTGGAATTGAAGGATTTAGCATTAGAAATTAAGATTAGATTTGGCTTTAAATTAAGATTAGATTTAATTTGGTCTTAATCTAGAAAATTAAGATTAGATTTTGCATTACAAATTAAGATTAGATTTATTATATAAATAATAGGTTCACATGTGAAGTTATGATGATTATTAAATTTAATATAGTTATGAAATTTTAAATTTATCATATGGTACTCGTTAAATTGACGATATAGATAATGTTAAGTTCTTTTTAAATTTGTGGAGTATCACTTATAAATTCTGATAACATTGCAAGATATTGGTAGTTACAATCCGGATGGCCATGATTACACCTCAAATTTCATTGATGGCGTGAAATACACTATGGATTTGCAAGCATATGAAGCAGCTACTGAGATTGCCAAGGATTTTGGGTTTTATTTGGTGAGGGAAACGAAAAAAATAAAATAAAAAAAGAAGGTACTTGGCGACTTACATTGCACTCATGGTAAGAAGAAAAAGTTGAAGGAACCAGATCCGAGTAAGAAAAGGAGGCCTCTTACTGCTACTGAAAAGTTGGGGTGCGAATTTTAGATCAAGCTTGAGCGGTGCGGTGATGGATATTGGTTGATCCTAGGGGTGGCAAATACAAAGAATCCTGGTGCTAATTTGGGTTTCCACAATCATCAGTTGGAGCTATTTCCGGAGGGATCAAAGGGAAAGAATGTTTTGACTACAGAGGATAAGCAATACATCAGACAGCCGAGATCATCCGGTGTCTCACCAAGGAATATCCACAAGGCAGTGAATGAGAGAAAAGATGCAAATGGAAAACACAACTGAAAACAAATTTATAACGAGTTGCAAAAGATAAGGAAAGAAGAGCTTGGTCAGATGACAGCCTTACAGTATACTTTCTGTTTGACTCAGGAGAAGGGTTACTATATACAGTATATGGACGACCGTAACGTGCTTACACACTTGTTCCTAGCCCACCCTGAGTCAGTAGTGATGTTGCGAGCTTGGCACTATGTGATGTTGCGGCCGTAGGGGCGGATGTTACCTTCTTCGTCCGACGAAGGCTGCTGCGTGAGTGGGAGAGAGGGAGGCCGACGGCGACATGCGGCCGGCGACTCGAGCAGCGAGCGGCGACGCAGATGGGAGGGGTTTTGGTCGGCGGCGGTGGGACTTGCAGAGGGAAGGGGCCTGGTCGGCGGCGGGAGTTGTAGAGGGAAGGGGCGCTGGTCGGCGGCGGTGGGAGTTGCAGAGGGAACGTGGGTGGTTGGGGGAAGGAAGAAGGGTTTAGGGTAGGGTTGAGACTTGTTTGTTTGTTTGAATTTTGAAATTTTCATTAAGGGTATATAGGTAATTTGACATTTAAGTTAGGGCGAAATTTAGCAATTCAATTAATTATACATGGCCTTCTTTCTTAATGCAACTTTTAGTAATGAAATAGTGGTTGTTTGGATGAATATGCATTTACATGGTATTGAATATGAGTTCTCATCTAGATGAATATGAGTTGACATGTTACCACAAATAAGATGAAATATGAGCTTAAATGAAACGGAATGAGTTGAATAGACAATAAATTTGAGTTAACTTGATACTAGATATTACTAGAACTGACAATGAATATGCATTTACTTGGTATTAGGTCAACTCGTATTTCTTCAAATTTCAATCCATTCAATACCCGATAAGCGAAGCGATCTCGCCGGAAGGATGTGAACTCGCCGTTGCGTTTGCTGCTATCTCAGAGGGATCCTGGGCTTCTTCTTCTCCGATAAACTAACTCTGATCACCTTACAAAATCAGTATATCAATACCACTATACAAAAAACAGTATTGCTACACGAAAACTAGTACCACTACATGAAAAAGTACCACTATATGAAAATAGTACCACTACAATACCAATCTATAAAAACCAGTACCACTACAAAAACAATAATCAGTACTAATAAAAACAACCAGAGCCTAGATCCGATCGAGGAGGAAAATTGATATACTGAACTGCTTTTGACCTTTCTTAACGGAACTTGCACTGGTGCATGTGATAACATTAGTTTGTACGAGAGACCTGAAAAAAGAGATGACACCCATTGCGAATCAAGAACAATCAAGAAGCGGCACCCCTATTGGTGCAACAACTCCCATTCGTAGCCCAACGCCATTGATCCCATCTACACCGATTGTGATTCTAAGTAATCACAAAAAATTGTCAACTTTCATAATTTCTCAAAATTATCAACTAAACATATTTTTCATTTTCATAGTGTGTGATTGTACCTCTGTTATCATAACAATACTACAACCACAACTATAATAAAACTATACTAAACTGTAACTGATTTCGATCAAAGTTCACAATTGAAATTAACTTCAAATGATTGAATCACATTCGGCACATGCTTCCTCCGCACACATTCAGAATGTGTAGTTCAATTGTAACAAATTGATTACTAGTGAAAAATGTGTTATCCCGACATGTGTGATTAAAAAACATTAAAGTTTGTCAAATTAGTTGTAACAATAATGTGTTACTAGCTACCGTTTTGATTTGAAGGCAACGTTGCACCAAACGAATCAACGTGATCCTTGTACCAAACTGTCTTAGAGCGTTGCACCACCATTATTTTGGCATATAATGCTTTAAGGGGTCATTTGAATGGAGAATTTGGACTAGAAATTTCAGCACAAGCTCTCCTTTTGTTAGATTTTGCCACAATTTGGTATTTGAGAAAAGTGTCTAAGACGAAGAACTTTATATTCAATCTACCAATTTAATTCAATCCAATCTCTTTACTTAAATATGCAACTAATCCAATACATCTAAATATAAATCCAATAGTATTGATGAATTCATAGAGTGTTTGCAAATCACAGTTTAGTACCTATATTTTTATATTTTACAATATGATATCTAAAATAATTTTTAACGAAAACATCATTGAAAATTACATTTTGGTACATAAAATTCATTATTATTACTTTTGAGTACCTAAATTTTTCAAAATTTACATATTGGTCCAATAATTAGATGTTACTTGGATCCATGATCCAATCCACCATTTGATCCAGTTAATGAATCCAACAATCCATTTGATCCATGAATCTATTAATCTAATCCATGAATCAATGAATTCAATCCATATGAAACCTCTGCTAAGATGTCATCATAAAAATTTAGATATCAATATGTAATTTTTGAAGAATATTTTTCATAAAAATATTGAAGGTTATGTATCAAATTGTAAAATATAAAATATATTTGTACTAAAATTTAATTATTCAGCAATTCATGAATCCAATAATCTATTTGGATTTGTATTAGTTGGATTTTTTGCTGGATGGATTAAATTAGTGGATTGTGTTGAAATTGTCCCCTCTACTTATAAGAAGTTGTTGCCTTGTTGGGTGTTATAGAATTTTGCTGATGTCCATGAGTAGTGATTTTGATGGTATACGACTATTAAGTTTAGCTCCTTGACACACTATTTAAGTTTTCTTGTTCTACAATACTGCGACAACAAGCCCAAAATACTTCACTTTCTATGTTCAATTGGGATTTGGAAAGCCTTCAAACTGTTCAACATACTATGTTCAATTGGACATGAATTGCCTTAAACAATCCCAAGTAATCGTAACCTTAGGCTGGACAAACCGAAACCAAAACCAGTGGGAAGAATTTGGTGCTTCCTTTCTATCCATTCACAGTTTGCTAAGGCGTTTCTTTCCCAAATGAAACTATGAAACGCTACCCTTTTATCGTTAGAAAGAAAAAAGAATCAGCTGAAGTTGCAACTCCCGCAACGAAGTTACATCCTAGAAGATCAAATGAAACAAAAAGAGGAAAAACAGTCTACGCACAATAGACACATCTTTGGTTCGTTGCTTTTCTCCTCCTTCAAGCAACTCCTCTCTGTACAAATGACTTAAAGCTTTCCTAGCCACCATCAAGAAGGCTTCTTGCTCCTCTTCTTCGCTGTTTTAGCAATAGCATCACAAATCTCTCTTTTACGTTTATTGTTGTTGCTGGTGACATTGTTATTGTTGACCAACTTCTCGTCGTTGGTATTTCCGCCAGTGCTAGCAGGTGCAGTTTTAGCTTGTGCTTCAAGAGCATCCCTCACAAAGAACTTCAGCCTCCACAGCGTAGATTCACTCTGCATGAGATGAAGAATGTTGAAACATAGCAGCGGTTAAATAAAGATACTGTTAAATCGCCGGGGTAACCTGAAAAAAATACTATTAAATATGGTTAATAATGACCTGTGCATCAATGTCCAGGTCCACTTCCTCGGCTGTTGCTTGGAATTCTGGGTTATTTTGAGCAACGATCTCCAGTGCTTTTGTGAGATCTTCAGGAGACAATCTTGTTAGGGCTGCCCCTAGCTTTCTTTTATCTTCAGTGGACCATTTTCTGCAGCAGGAGAAGATATATCAAGTTAATTAGCATGCTACAGCAGACAAATGGATGGCCAGTTCTACAGATGTTAAATAAATAAAATACAATGTCAACTAACAGATCTTCCTTTTGACTATATAAATCAAGGTTAGCAACTTGGTCATATGAAACAATTTTGCGGCTACCCATTGCTAAGTAACCAAGAGATGAATTCCTCAAAGAAAGAGACACGATGCACCAAACATAGTTAGATTAAGAACATGAATAGTATGTGTTGTTAAGCAAGAGGTTCTAACATATGCTTATGTTATAAGGAATGTGGAATGTTGTGTTGTTAAGCATGAGGTTGTAACATAATGTGGATGTTATAAGGAATGTGGAACGGGGGAAACGATTCGCAAATCATAACTATGCCAAAACGAATCTGGGTTTACTGATATTGATCAGAATAGAGTATAAAATAGAGTATGACAAACCTGCAGTTTTGAACAACCATTTCTCTAAGCTCGTCAAGATGCATTTCAAGTTCATAAAGCTGAAAGTAATAGAGCGGGTCAGTAATTTTAATCTCTTCACATACCAATCCCATACGATGGGATCCTTTGGCTTCTTAAAATTATATCACTGCACAATGCAATTACAGTATTACCTCATTGCTCAAATCTCTAGTGATTTTAGCATGAGCAGCCTCCTGGGCGAGCTGCATGTCCAACTGAGCCTCAGCTTCCTCCTCTTCTCTCCTTCTCTCCTATGAGTAAAAGAGCTAGGTGTTAATAGTGGTGCAGAAACTAGAAGCAAAAGTCATTAATTTTGGAAAAGCTGGATCAGGATCCGAAATCATAGACTAAGGTAGCTCGACAGAACATTACCTCTTCGGTGACTTTTGGAAGAAATTGCAACCATTTCTCTTCAAACTTGTCCATCAAAGTTTTTGCCATGACATGAACATCACTCCTTTCTTCATTATATTTCATTGCATTCTTGAAAACCAACCTCACATCCGCACATATCTCCCTGACATTCTTATAACCAGTACCATCCTTGGCTTCCATCTGATTTTTTATCGTACTGAAGTCCATCGGTTTGTCAATGACCTAGTGAATGCCACATGAATCAAATCAATCGACCCAATAAAGAAGGCAAAATATTCAAGGTTAACCACAAGGGATTACTTAAAAGAACCTCAGAGCTAGAGTTGCTAATCACAATATAGTCAAGGTAACCCACAAGTGCATACATGCTAAGCAGCAGATATACTGGGGTTAAGTAATTCACAATTCAGTACATGTAAACTCGCTTGCATAAACTTTGGCAAGAATGGGCCAACAAAGAGGAATCAGTCATTTCCCCTAACAAGCAATTTCAACCATCAGGTGACCTGCCTCTTTTGGTAAAAGAGTGAAAATTTGAATACTTTACATGTTGCTTCATGTCGATGCAAGTACTGGACAGATATACACAACAACTCAAAGTAAACATGTGAAACATTGCAAACTTTCAGTCATTCCGCACTTGAAGTTTGTCCAGCGGGAAATCACTTTATGCTACAAATACCAATCCTTCCACACAGCAATTAGATAGTTCAAATTACCAGTTCCAAGACCTTTATGAAATATGCCACTGATACTATCATCAGCAGTGAAGTTTTAGCCGTCCAAGACTTTAGCAAAATCCATAAGCTACGGTCCGTAAGAGGATTCATATGTAGAGAACCGGACAGCATAATGTGTTCAAAACTAATCCATAACAGATTAAAGCTTCTTCAGAAAACATAAATGCACTGTCTTGCAATAACCAGAAACCAGGACAACAACAATCAAATAAAAATAAAAAAGATTTCGCACCTCAAAGTAGTCATGTAAGCCAAGACCTTTCACATCCACTGGTTGCATAAAAGGCCACGCCCATTTGTGCAGCGTTAACTGAGAGAGAGACCACCGAGAAAACAGCTTTTAGAGCATTCAAACATCCAAACCTTAACCCCAAATACCCGAACATCAAAGGAAACATGAACAATCGGAAGCAAAATTACAATCTACCTGCTTAAGAACGGTTCCAAATTGACGCATAAGCTCCTGCATTCTCTTAGCAGCCGCAGCTTCCCGCTTGGAAGCGTCTTGCTGCTGCTTCCTAATGCTAAGAACCTGCTTTTCCTTCTCTTTCTCTTTCACGACCGAACTCCCTTTCGAACCCGTTTGCTGCTGCTGCTTCTTGCTCAAGTTCGTATAGAATTGTTCCACCTCGTTCACTTTCTCCTCCAGCTTTGAACAATAGACATTCCCGTAAATTCCCACATTAAAAGCTCAGCTCTTTCGGAGAAAACGGAAGCCAAAAGATGGGAACTTCAGAATAGATGGTTTACCTTATCGACCTTCTGGACGACTTCGTCGACGCGGAGCCTCAAAACCTCGACTTCGGCCGGGTTAGGGTTATGCTCGGGTGGAGCAGCGCCGAAATCAGGGATTGGTGCTGCAACGGTCTCCATTGATCACCAGTAGGGAGGGGGCAAAAGGTTGTGAAAATTGTAGAAAATTTTGATTGTCTGAGGACTCGAGGAAAGCGGGAGGGACTAAAAGGATATGGGAAAAACTTAAGCCGCCGGAGGGAGGAGGCTAAGAGGAAGGAGGCAGCGGTGGGCGCCTGGGCGGTGGGAGAAGCGAAAAAAGGGGGTCCCTGCCGGCTGCCGCCGCTCTGGGGAAGAAGATCGATGGCTCAAGCAGGAGATAGTTTGAAGAGGCCGTTGGTATTGATGGACTTGTGCTTTTCTGCAAAAGATCATTTTAAGTTGTGCTGGACATATGGGCCAACTAGCTAATGGGCTTGGGTCTCGTAATTTTGTTAGGGGAATCTTTTGATTTTTCTTTTTGTCGCCCAATTACGGCCCGGATCTTCTGTTCTTGTTTAATCGGCTGCCTATTCATGTCCGGATCTAATTTCGACGGGCCATAATCTGGTTGGACCGAGGATAACGGTTATGGACGGAAAAGTAGATGTAGGGGTATGTTTGAGAAGGATTTAATTGTAGAAGGGTAAATTTGATGTGATTCATAATAGAGGGACATGTTTGAGAAATAAGCAAAGTAGAGGGACATTTTATACCTATAACCTGATACGCCCCTGGGAGGGTGTATGTTATCAAAGTCACGCAGCTAACGACTCAATCGAAGAATTGATTGAGCTCGAATCAAGAACGAAGCGTTCTTAATACGAACTTGGATAAAACGGAACCAAAAGGACAAATCCACACCTGTGGATAGCTCGATTGGTATAAAAGGGTAGTTGCTCGACCACGATTGAAGTGACTATTCAATCGATACACAAGCTCAGCAAGTTTGGAATCCACCAAACCCAAAACAAGTTCGCAAACTTGAACAAACCAAACGGTTTCTTTTCGATTGATCAACTCTGAATTTTACAACGAAAATAGAGGGCTATTTATAGCCAAGAAAACCTAATACAAACCTAGATGAACAAGGAAACAAATAAGGTAAAATTCTACTCTAAAAAGGACACAAAATTTGGATTTAAACTTCCTTTCTTGAAGCACAAGTAAGCTGCCAGCAAACAGTCAAAAGGCAGCTTTCGTACTAACTTCACGCCTTTCGTTCGAGGCCTTCCCGAGCTCCAATTCTTCATCCAATTCCTTCCCTTTGTTCACAAACATACCTAGTTTCATATTGAGGAAGCCTTTGGACTTGAATCAGATTCATACTCCTCGAATCGAGCTCCAAAGTAGGCTTCACAGAACAGTTTTCTGCCTTAGTCATTTTCTGGCAGTTTTCCAGTTTTGATGTAGCAACTTTGAGGCCTTGGAAAACAACCTTAATGACATTATATGGATCCAAAAAGCATACCATTGGAAACATGGTAACTTTATCTATAAAACAAACCCTTAAACTTGAATTTCCACCAAGCCAATTGAGAGAACCATGCCTCCAAAGTATGTACCCTGAACACGGATTTTGACTTAGCCAAATTCTGCCCTTCTTCTTCCCAACTTCGTTAGCTTCTTCATTAAGTAATTTTGGCTCGTTGATTAACCGATTTGGAATCATATCAGGCTTCCCCTCTTCAAAAAGCTTTGACCTCAAAGCTTGTTGCTGCTTCGTGTCAAAATTATCACAAAATTGATCCCAAATCGGATCGAAATAGGGCTGCTCAGTCATCCCTTTCGGCATAAAATTGACACCTTCAAATCCTTCTTCAATCTGTTTCAGAGGGATTGACGCTGGAAGTGTTGTTGGAAATGCTTGCTGGAGTTGTAATAGACCTCTACTGATAACCAAGTTTGCCTGAAACCAATGCTGTGAAAACCGAACCGGAGTTTGACCCGGTAACGGGAACGGCTCACACTTTAGTGGTCGAACCGCTATTAGACCGTTAAAAAGCCGTTAGAGAACCGATACCTTATAAATGATAATATCATAAATAGATGATATATAAAATAGTAATTTAATGGCTAAAATGAAATTTACCCTTCATATACCAATTAGTAATTTTACATTTTATATATTTACCCACAAAACCCTACCCCATTCCCTGCTACCGCCGCCCCACTCTTCCCCTTTTTCCTTTCCTTCCCCATTCCCTCCTACCGTCGCCCCATTCTTCCCCCTTTCCCTTTCCTTCTTCTTCTTCTTACAGATCTAATGAGCTCGAGATTGAGCTCCTCCGGCTGCAGGAGCATGTCGGCGCTGGGATTCCGGTAGAACACGAACTCGCGATCGCCGTCGGCCTTCAGAGTGACGAACACCAGAGCAGTCCTGGCCCCCTTGTCGAAGTTGATTCCATCCCCGATCACGCCGTTCTCCTTCAAGATCCCGGCCAGCATGTGCCCAAACTCGTGGTCGCCGAGCTTCCCGATGAAAGCGGCCTTGCTGCCGAGCCTGGCAACCGCGATCGTGACGTTGGCGGCGCCGCCGGGGGCCTTGAGGAAGCCGGGAGCCTCAGCGAGGGAGACTCCGGAAACGGTGGGGACGAAGTCGATCAGCATCTCACCGAAGCTGACAATGAGAGCTGTTGCGGTGCTGCCTTCGAGTCAGACGGTTCATGTGTTAAAAACCGGTCAAGCGGTTCGAGCGGCTAGAAAGATTAACCGCTCCGACCGGTCAAAAACCGACCTTCCCAGCCGCTGCGGTTAATTGAGTGTACCGAGCCGGGCTGGTGGTCGGGTGATGGTTTTACCGGTCCGGTCGGCCGGCTCGGCTCGGTTTTGACAGCACTGCCTGAAACTGATCGGAGCAACTCCTAGTTCGTCGGACAGTTACAACGAACATCAATCCATTCGATGAAATTGGGGGTTTTTGTTTCAAGGATCTCCAACTCAATTCACTTCTCCCAGTCACTTCGAAAAGCTTCCAATTGAAGTTATAGACCTGTCCCATACCTCGATTCATCACCGTTGCCGTCAATTTGTCGATTTCCCCTTTCCCGCCGTCGATCAATTTCGAATTTTCGAAGCCCAGAATTTCCGATTCGTATTTGGGGGTTTTCGACTCAGCCCTCTTCGAATCAAATTGAGGGATGCTAAGCATTTCTTGGGCCTCATTGAACGATTCGGCATTGTTTGTTTGACTCGAATCGAGCTGGGTTGCTCCACCCAATAGAGGGTCTTCGTCGCCGTTCTTTCCCACAAACAGAGGCGATTTTTGTAGATTCGATTCTGCAACTCCTGGCATGTTCATCCCCATTTAGACTACGGATGACGTTCCTGAGGTTGTAGGGAACGTGTCGGCATTGGTGGCCGAGTTCGACTCGTCGCCGGTTGTTCCACCCAATAGGACCGTCGGGTTGCTGTGTTTTTGCGGACAAAAAACAGAGTCGATAAACTCTGCTCTCATCACCGGTGTGATATGCGCGTCGGCAGCTAGCTCCAGGTCCTCTCCTCTTTTCTCCAATCGTCCTTCCACCTCCAAAGACGCGTCTTTGGCCGCTTCGGGCTCCAACTTTCCTTCCTCGTCGTCGTCAGGGGCGCTGACATTGGGACTCTGTTTTTCAGGCGAAAGACAGAGGTCGCCAGCTCCGAACAGATTCGGGACTGAATTGCTTCCCTTCGACGACGCCTTCGACAACAATTCCAATTGATACTTCTCCTGGAGCTGTTTCAACACCCTCAAATCTTCAACGGCTGCTTCTGGCGCGAAGGAACTCAACACGAACACCTTATTTCGACTTCGCAATCTGAATTTCTTGCTTCGTCGGCTTGCAAACCGAACTTCACGATCTCTGAACCATGGTTGTCCCAACACGAGGCTGCTGGGGAGATTATAGATTACATCACAAAGCACTTGATCCTCGTATTGGCCAATCGAGAATGTCACGGCCACCTGAGACACTACAATGCTGAATTTGTTTTCATACGGTGATTGGAATACGTATGGTTTCGGATGCAGCTGTGTTTGCAGCCCTAGCTTGCTTACGACCCTTAAGGAAATCAAATTCCTCTCCCTGCCTCCATCAACGAGAACCAAACCCAGCTGATCCTGGATTAAACAACGAGTGAAGAACATCGATTCTGCTTGCTCCTCTACTGCCATCGATTCTGTTTATTTTATTTTTATGTTTTTGCGGCTGCAGAATCGCGCGAAACACAGCCTCCTTTCTCGCCCTGACTTGAACGGGGCTCTGATACTACTTGATACGCCCCTGGGAGGGTGTATGTTATCAAAGCCACGCAGCTAACGACTCAATCGAAGAATCGATTGAGCTCGAATCAAGAATGAAGCGTTCTTAATACGAACTTGGATAAAACTCGAATCAAGAATGAAGCGTTCTTAATACGAACTTGGATAAAATGGAACCAAAAGGACAAATCCACACCTGGGGATAGCTCGATTGGTATAAAAGGGTAGTTGCTCGACCACGATTGAAATAACTATTCAATCGATACACAAGCTCAGCAAGTTTGGAATCCACCAAATCCAAAACAAGTTCGTAAACTAGAACAAACCAAATGGTTTCTTTTCGATTACTCAACTCTGAATTTTACAACGAAAATAGAAGGCTATTTATAGCCAAGAAAACCTAATACAAACCAGGCTCTGATACCACTTGATACGCCCCTAGGAGGGTGTATGTTATCAAAGTCACGCAGCTAACGACTCAATCGAAGAATCGATTGAGCTCGAATCAAGAACGAAGCGTTCTTAATACGAACTTGGATAAAACGGAACCAAAAGGACAAATCCACACCTGGGGATAGCTCGATTGGTATAAAAGGGTAGTTACTCGACCATGATTGAAGTGACTATTCAATCGATACACAAGCTCAGCAAGTTTGGAATCCACCAAACCCAAAACAAGTTCGCAAACTTGAACAAACCAAACGGTTTCTTTTCGATTAATCAACTCTGAATTTTACAACGAAAATAGAAGGCTATTTATAGCCAAGAAAACCTAATACAAACCTAGATGAACAAGGAAACAAATAAGGTAAAATTCTACTCTAAAAAGGACACAAAATTCGAATTTAAAATTCCTTTCTTGAAGCACAAGTAAGCTGCCAGCAAACAGTCAAAAGGCAGCTTTCGTACTAACTTCCCGCCTTTCGTTCGAGGCCTTCCCGAGCTCCAATTCTTCATCCAATTCCTTCCCTTTGTTCACAAACATACCTAGTTTCATGTTGAGGAAGCCTTTGGACTTGAATCAGATGCATACTCCTCGAATCGAGCTCCAAAGTAGGCTTCACAGAACAGTTTTTGCTGCCTTAGTCATTTTCTGGCAGTTTTCCAGTTTTGAGGTAGCAACTTTGAGGCATTGGAAAACAACCTTAATGACATTATATGGATCCAAAAAGCATACCATTGGAAACATGGTAACTTTATCTGTAAAACAAACCCTTAAACTTGAATTTCCACCAAGTCAATTGAGAGAACCATGCCTCCAAAGTATGTACCCTGAACACGAATTTTGACTTTGCCAAATTCTGCCCTTCTTCTACCCAACTTCGTTAGCTTCTTCATCAAGTAATTTTGGCTCGTTGATTAACCGATTTGGAATCATATCATAACCCTAAATAAATCACAAAAGTTCATACATCTCCACACGGCTTCACAATAGCACGTTTAATTTTATAATATTGATAGGAATTCCTTCATTTCACTCTAAAATGTATCTTATCAGTTAATGTTAAATTGTTCCTTATGACCTATAGATCTCTCGTGCTTTGATGATGTGAGATTTGTCTAAAGTGTTAACTTACACCTTGTGTCCCTGCTGAGGTTTCTCCATCATCGTTCATGAGGGATGTTAAGAGGCTCTGATACTACCTCTAATATATCAACCTTTTTTCTTACTAAGATATTGAATATTTTCCGCTTTAGGTGTGACCCTGCATGATTTTGCTTTTGGATGCATCATGGTGACTTCTGAAAGATGTCACTCATCTCAAAATTTTTCTCTTGAACATGTTAAACTTCACATTTCTTATAAAAACCATTGTTATAAGAACCAAATCAGATCTACGACCGGGCCAGTAGAATCGTCAAACCAGTTACGATAGCAGTTCGATTCATTGTTTGGACGGTTATTGATGGACCAAACAGTTTTTCACCATTCAACATAAAATCAGATGAAACACCAAACTTTAACATAACTAAGACTATCAAACCATAATTATTAATTTTACATATGGTTCCTCTTCTCATTCCAACCTTGTTCTCGACTTTACGTTATCCCCTACTAACTAAAAAAATAAGATTTCTTTTTGTGTGATGGTTTGAATGATTTATTAGATATTTTGGTGTTGATATGAATTTGAAATTGTTTATGGTCAATGATAACCTCATTCTTAAATTAGTGTAATATACAAGTCTTATATGTTATATATCATGAACGGTTCTATCAACGATTTTGTAAGCGTTAACCACTAAACCCTAAACCACTAAGTTTTCCAGTTCGGCCTCCGGTCTGGTTTTGAAAACAGAGATAAATACTCATTCATCTCAACTTAAAAAACTCGCCTTACCAATTAAGGTTGAGATATTCCCTATGACCCATGAATATTTTTCATACTTTAACAACGTGAGATTTACAAGTTAGTTGAGTTTTCAAATCGTGCCATCAAAACACTTCTTTAATTTGTTCACATAAGGGAGAAGCTTTCAGCCTTTCACTATAGCTGATAACACCCAAAATAGTGTTATTTAGATTTCATATTTAGGGTCATTTCGAGTCCTTTCGTGGTCTTATTAGCCAATATATCATCAAATACATCCCTATTTTGTTCCTCGAAGAGAATATTGTCATATAGGGTGTTTTAGATGATATGAACATTTTAAGTGCGAAAAGGGGTCACAAGTGTATGACTACGGGCAAAAACGAGAGATCGCAGGCAGGAGCAAGCATATCACGGCCATGAAGAGAGGGCGTGCACCAGAGCATGAAGATCTCAACCTCTATGGCCAAGATCGTAGCCACGAAGTGTGAAGCCCAGGGTGCGAACTTCAGGAGTAGCACCAAGTAGGGATGTCAATCCAACCCGTAACCATGGGTACCCTACCCGACCGTAACCGGTCAACGAGGGTAATTACCCGCTTTGACGGGTTAAGGGGCGGGTACGGGTAATACCCGGTTTCAAAATAAAGGGTAGGGTACGGGTATGGTAATCGATAATACCCGCCCCGTTATACCCGCCCGCTAACCAAAGGGTCAATTTCCCTTGAGAAATTTATTTTGGCTTGAGAAATTGAGTTTAGCTACCATTATTGATGATGAAGATGTAGAGGATTATTATGTTTGTGTGGATTGTAGAAGCAAGAACAATTATTATGTGTTTGCTGTTTTTATTTGTGTGGATGGTTGAAGCTAGAATAGTTACAAGTATTGAGAATTTTTAATGGACAACAGTATGTATGTGCATATATGTGTATAAGTTCATAGTTTAGGATTCGTACCCATGGCTACGCGAATACCCGTGGTTACCCGGTGGGTAGGGTATGGTTATATAATTTTCATACCCTGTGGTTATTTGGTCGGGTATTTTAGAAGGCTCTA